TGGGGCTGTGGGGCTGTGGGGCTGTGGGGCTGTGGGGCTGTGGGGCTGTTGGGTTTTGTACAATTTTTCGCCAAATCAATAGGAATCTCGTATGAATTAATTAAACTTTGGTGTCAAAAGTTAACTTCTTTCGGGGGGTGGCACGTGTCTCCTGTTTTCCCCTCTCTACGCTAGGTCATTCCTTACATGTGTCAGGGACCAATCAGCATACTCTGAGCCCCATTGTGTTATATGTTTTCCTGACATTTTAGCTCTATTTTGGGTTATTGAAAAACTCATGAAATATTAATCTACAATATCAAGAATCGCGTCCCAGGAGGTTAGAGTTTGGATAGAAATTGTATGAATCAGTATGACTCAACCTTAGAGACTCCAGGGGAGTTGATCTTGAAGTCGTTCAGAAATCCTAATATTTTTCTTACTTTGTGCACGCAACGCGAGCCAAATTGAAAAAAGTTAAATCGTCAACGGTGTTAATTTCAGACTCTTTCTATGTTATAATTAATATCAATATCAAAAAGAGGCAAGTCTGACGAGAATAAAAACCTCAATAATGATGTAAAATTGAGAAAAATTCCGTTGCTAGCGGCAGGTGTTCGACGGTTAAGATCTTAATCATTATTATACTTCGTATACGTATCTTGTTGTTTTGCAAGAAAAGTCTTCGAAACACAAAATTAATACAATTTCTTAACAAATGAAAATGATTAAATGGTTTATAGAAGGAAAAAAAACTTCCATGGAATTTTTATTTTACAGTTCAATTAATTTTTCTTAACGTTGAAGTGAGTAAAATGTTCTCAACTGCACCTTGTTTTTCGTAAATAAGTGAACTGAAACTACCTAGTTAATTTGAAAGAAAGTTAAATAGCACCTGTCGTAAATCTTTATTGAAATCATCAATATAATTGCTAATAAGAGTTATTCTTGTTTCAAGGAATTTCTTTCACTAAGAGTGGTCATAAGCCTTCGATTAGGCATTCATTAAAGACTATTTTTTGGGGACTGAGGCAATAATCTTCGGACTTGGCTTCTAACTGAATTATACTTAGAGTGGTAGTTAATAAAATACGTGTCAAACTGTGTCAATTCCTTATTATTAACATGAGGATTTTTGATTAGCTAATTAAGTCAGTCCGTTATCATTATAACCAGCATTATATTTACTATTGTTTAAAGCTGATAATAATTCATGAGGTAAGATGCAGGAGTGAAACCATTTACGGTCGGTCAGTGGGTCGCCAGTATCAGCAGTGTTACCAAGTGTACTCCTATTTAAAGGCTAGAAAAATGTTTTGAAATTAATCTTTCACTCTATCTTATAGCTCAAGGTTCCGTTTATCTTGCGTATGTCTAAACGGTAGATGATTTTATCGCTAGAATGGCACAGACATCTGAAAGTGTACGAAGTACGGAGTTGGAGAACTTGACTCGTTCGGATGAACCGACGTTAGAGGAGAGTGAATTTCCATCGGTTGGGGTAGCAAGCAATCCAGATAAACACAATTCGTCGGGCAAATCTACGAAAATCCTTATAGTTTTGATCGTTTTGTTTAGTATAGCATGTCTTCTTATTGGAATTGCCTTGATTATCAAAGCAAATGCAAAATGCAAGAAGATGAATAAGGAAAGTACGGATCTTTTCACTTCGAAAACATGCGCTCCGTCACAAGAAGCCAAAAGAGTCAAACTCTTCGAGTTGTTCAGGAATGTGCAGAGAACATTCTTTGATTTACACCCAAATACAATCGGCCTAGATGCCCTTGCAAGCTTGGAGAAGATCAAGAGAAAATACAAAGCATATGACTCTCGACCAGAAGCAATCAAAAATCGAACCGATTCTGCAAACACGCTGTTGAATGACATTGCTAATATGGACACAAAAGTGTCAAAACTAAAACCTCGAGAGAAAAAACTTTTATCGCAGATTAAGTTTTATCTAAAACACGTATTTGGCCAGCCTTATGATGGAGATTATTACACCGGGGGATGGATGATGGGGCCGAACTTCTTCTGTTGGCAACCGATGTGTAGTTTGGGAAGGGAATTGAACGGTCACTTGCCTCTGTTCGCACCCGAGAAGGCAGAAGATATCAAACAACTGGAGAGGATTTTTGACGGCTACAAGGATACGATCTACCAGTACATCGATAACTTAAAACTAGGAATCGAAGCAGGAATGGTTCGGTCGGTAGAAGAATGTAACGCAGGGCTCAATTCATTCAAAGAAATCTTCCGAGAAATTTATTTCTCCAACGGCACAGGTATGTCATCAAATTTAGTTGAACGAAGCGATATTACTAATACTTGTTGTTAATTACCTATTTTATCGATGTTTTGGTCGGGTTCGTATTGTAAACCCCTTTTACCCCGTTTGATAAACTTGATTTGTGATTGAATAGTTGAGAATACTGGTCTCGTTAGGAATTCCGTTTCGAAGAAAGGAGCCTGGTGTTTGGCGTACAGGTGTCGAATTCGTCTTCAGCTTTAACCAAATGTTTGCATCTAAACTAAAACGCCCTATGCCACGGTTAATTTTTATTTCAATAAGTTTTTATGTTAATTGGAAGCTAAAACTTTCATTTTTTCTCTTGTTTTCTTTCGGGGAAATTTTATTCAGTGATCGTCACTTTTCGTGACGCTTCTGCCAAAGTTATATTTTCATAGTAATAACCAAATCAGATACTGAATTGATTTGTCCATTTACAACGTTCATTTTAAAGTCAATCCGTTGTGGCTAAGCCTCAACATTTTGTAGATCAACCGCAATTACTACTACTACTTAATTATTCTCTTCGCTTTGCTCTCAAAGAACACAATTATGACATAATCCCAAGCAATAATAGATAGATCTTTATGCGAGCGAGTCGTATTACAATGTAAATGTTTAATGAGTTGTACCAAACACACTCGTATTGGTGAATATATCAACTATTGACTTCATTGATAACAATATTTACTAGACGTTTTGTTTGGGTTTTCTTCTCGTGTTGTCATAAGCTTATATATTTTTTGATTCTTCGTTCCCGAGTAGGGATGGGTGGAGCGACATCGCATAATCAAGTTTCTGTCAGTCCGGTCAAATGTGTGGCAAAAAAAAAAAAAAGTTTTGTAAAATAAAATGACTTAAAAATTTATAAATTTGAGAAGAAATTTATGCCGAACGATCAGGCAAAACAGGAAAGTAACACTTTCTTTTTTAATCTGCTTATACACTCGATGTAGCATACACTTAACATATAGAATTTCTTTTTGTTTAAAACATCAAAGGACTGCCGACAAATTAACTTGTGCCGAATGGCATCATGGAAGAGTTGTCCACCGTTTTCGTAATAATATCCCATGATTCTATGCAAGAAAAGTTTACCAATTTTCTCGGTTTTTGGAACAATTCGTTTTGGTTTTTTTATCCTCGTTTTGTGGTTATTAAACAGGATATTTTGTTGTTGTTGTAGGGGTGTTGAAGGAGTCGTTTGGCAAGATCGTTACGGAACCTACATTTTTCAGAAAACTGTCCAACGAGACGAGGAAGAAGTTGCTCAATCATACTGGAAAAACTGCAGAAGAAACGATCAAAAACTCTATCGTTGATAATTTTGGCATCCCCATGAAAAAACTACTAAGGTATGTTGACACTTGGCTGGGACGACGTAGTGTCACCGAAGTCCAGTGTGTGTGGTTTCTATGCACGTCCCTATTTCAAATGACTGTAACACCACGCGGCACGGTGCACGAAACGTTCACAGTGCAGGACAGACAAAATCCTCTGACCCCGAGCTATTGCACGAGAGAACACTACTCGGCCAATGAAGACGCAAATGCAAATGTATGCCTTAATTTTGATGATTTTTGTCCTTCAGCTTTCTCGAGAAGGAATATTCTCGCCACTGCGTCCCCAGTAATGTGTCCAGCGGTCTTAGCAACAGGCCACTGTCTCACGTTTACGTTGATGGGGTAGCAACAAAGCCAACCAACAAGAGGCTGCCTACAGGCGAAGAACTGAATGGTACTAACACGTACACCGCCATCATGTCCTATTTCACCACTACAGATATCACGCCAAAAGAAGTGTATGACAAGGGATGGGAGATAGTCAAGAAAACATATCCACAGGTATGACTACTGTCAGGGGTAGGGAGGGGAATGTTGACTAGATATGGTAGATACAATGACTACTGTCAGGGGTGGGGACGGGAATGCTATACATGCGATTGTAAGATGACCATATTGTTAACATTTTCACAGGCAGTCACCGTCGCCAAGCAAGTAACTGGTATCAATGATACCAAAATGGCGGTTTCGCAGTTCCGCGCCAAATTGAAATCACAGAGCATGTATTTCAATGATGCACCGCTGCCCAAAAACGAGTCGGGCCCTGATGCGTATGTGAAGTGTAGCTCAGTTGAAGGCGCAAAGAAACACTGCCCTGTACGATGGAGAACTTTACAAAAATGGTTCAAATCTTCCCGTGAGGTGAGTATGTTTGAAGTGATATTTGTCGATGAGTAGATCGATTTTTACATATGATTTAATTCTTTTTCAAAGATTATGAGCATATTGGATCCAAAGACCATCGGTATGTTTTTCTTCACGGGTCAGAAACACACAACACCAAACTGTCCGGTAACACTTGCCCCAGACTTCAACCCTTCATCAGCAGCTCAGAGCTACGAAAACAGTGACCCTAACTGCACCAGGCCCTGCTCGTATAACGTGCCTTTTTTCCTGACGAATATGGGCCCATCATTCAGTGAGTGGTCAGTGAATGCGCATGAAGCAAGACCAGGTCATCATACACAGGTTTGTACCCATAATTCCATACGAGACGATCTCGTTACCAGTCTGCCTCTGAATTTTACAAACATAAACTATCTTGATCTTGACAGGGCCAGGGTTATCAAGAGCACTTTCTCGATACGTGTGGTGGGATAGGTACTTGGCTTAATCAGGTGGCGAGGTTTGATGCATTCTCTGAAGGCTGGGGTTTGTATGCAGAGTCCATGATTGGTGAAGATACTGATACTTATGAAGGAAGACCGCTGATGAAGTACGGCTGGCTCAAGTGGCAGGTTAGACTAATTCTTCTCTACTGAGAAACGTTTACTTTGGATGATATGTGAACGAAACACGAAATAATGTTTTGATAACTTTGAATAGTTGAAGATTACGACTATACGACTTAATTGGGCCAACCTTTTTTCTAATATAGATTTGGCGCGCACTTCGCCTGGTCGTTGACGCTGGTCTTCACTCAAGAGGACTAACAAGGCAACAGGCACTGGATCTCTTTGACAAGTACGCCTGGGATGACTCGGATATCCGAGAGAAAGAGCTTACTCGATATCAGAGCGGTCCTGGTCAGGCTACAGCCTATATGATTGGACAGCTGACTATTACTAAACTGAGACGATACGCTACCGACAAGCTGGGGGAAAAGTTTGTTCTGAAGGACTTTCATTACCAGGTAACTGTTTTAAGTTTTGATATTTCATGAAAAAAATATAGTAGAAGTGGAGAACTGCCGTATAAATGTAAAAGGGTCTTCGGCGCGCTCAAGTATGCAGAACATTATGCGCGCATACAATGGAAAACGCAGAGACAATCGCAATGGATCGATCCATGCGCACAAATGGAATTCGAAAAGAAATAAATAATAAAAAAGAAATTTAAAGAGAGTAGGTTTGCCTGTGTGCGTGCTTTAACGTTTACTACCGCTGCTTGCTTTAGTTTCATAGAAGTTGACGAAAAAATGTACGTTCTCAAATTATTGATTTCTATATAGAGCCCTTGCAGCACGTCGGAATGCAGTTCAATTTGGAGGACATTGCAATAGGTTTCCAATTCTCTTGAGATTGAAATTCTTTTGTTTAGTCCTCCAAATTGAGCTGCTTTAACGTCACATGCAAGGGGTCTATTAGAAGTCATATTTGTGTCTCTGTCTTACCTTGTAATCATTATATTTCTAGGTTCTTTCCCAGGGTAGCGCGCCTCTCAGTTTCCTCATCAACCATATCGAGCATTACGTCAAATGTAAACTGAATACCAATGAGCCTGGCTGTGAATACATTCTCTCGCCACCTTCTCCATCGAGTAAGCACATCTCCTATGTTAGAACCTTGGAAGGAAATTCGGTCCATCTACCACACTTTCCTTACAGGTCCAGAGGGTACTTGTAGACGGCAAAAAGAACGAAGAAAATTAGATCATTAAAAACAAACTAGCGATCGCACTTTAGATGACGTTAGTTAACCAAGGTAGTTAAACTCGGTTGTAAGCGATATTGGACATATTGCATATTGAAAGTCTTTTGATTAAGTGTGGCTGATACTTCTAAGTTCCTTTGATGCGCGCAAATGACACCGAGTATCGAGAGGGACCCAGATGACATCTCAATTCGTTTTTAGCACAATGACTTAATTATGAAATTTGTAGCAACAAGTTTACTCACTTTTGAGAATGATGCCTGATGGCGTCGAAACGTCAAGAAATTTGAATAAACTTATCGCGACAAATATCATAATTAAAACTTGAAAAACAATGACTTAGGCACACATACACCCAACTGAGGGTCCTCCTCAGCTAATCGTGGCAGATCACTTCATTTCGATTTCAATCTTTAGATAACTTATATATATAATACTATGATGCGCGTACTAACTCGATACCTGCACAGCTGATGAACCTGCGTCGATGATCAAGACTTTAAAATGTGTGAGTGAACACCAAAGTCTGTTGCGCAGCCCGTCCAGCCCGTCCGTCCAGGTTTACTCGCAGCTCTAATCGGTAGTGTATAGGTAGACAGGCAATAAATCTGTTAACGACTCTTTCACGAACACGTCAAATAAAGTTTTTAAATTCCACGGTCTCGAATGATTATCGATTATGTGAAAATAACTTTGCTAACTTTGATGGCATGCACTCGGTATCTTATCGGAACTTCATCGGAATTCTTTACTGGAACTGTGATTGGATGCGTTCTTTTGATTGGCAGTTTTGACAAGCCATTTAAAAGTCAAGGTAGAATACCAAGGGCTTTCTATACAGCCATTAAAACTACAAACAAACAAAACATCGAGAACTAAGTCATGTTAGAAACAAATCAGTCATGAAAACACAAGAGAACAAAGTATATGATACCAACATCAAAACTATTTTTTTCGTATGGAAAACAATATTACAAAAACGTTTACAAAATATTCCGCTAATATTGAACACATGCATAATTAGTTCAAAAATTATCTTATCAACAATTGGAATTCTTTTCTGCATTTCAAAGAGGAATATAACGTCAAATACGAGACATTTTTGACATAATTTACGAACGCCAGGATGGGTTAAGGCAAGCAAAATGCGTACACCCAAGAAGCGCTGGATCGCACGGGTTTCAGTTTCCATCTCAGTCGCAGAGGTACTGATGGTTTATAGACAACATACAGAAACCCACAGGCATCATACTGCGTTTCTAAGTTGCGCTACTTTTAAAAAATGTTGCTTTGCGCAGCATAAATAAGGAACCACGATTCGCATTTTTATGACACCATGAAATGAATATACTCTAAAACTCTACTAAATCTACGTTCTTTCCTCTTTCAAAGCAAGAAAAGAATTCCAGTTTTCCAGTTTACTAATATAACCGTATTTCTTAATTTAATGCATTATTTTCAAATACTTTTTGTAATGCCCAGTGGATGGAGTCTTTCAAGTATGTGTTTAGTAAAGAAGCCAGAGTAAACTCGTAGAAGAACTACCCTTGCCTCACGATACGACCATACGTTCTATCAGCGTTCACTCGGGTGTATTATCAATAAAGTTTGTCTATTATTTATCGTGAGGATAATTCCATTTTAGTATTTTTATATTTGTAAAAGGAGTAGAATCACTTGTCTACGAAATCCTTCACTGTAACCTAGCAGCGGAATCAAAAATGAGGACCTATTAGTGCGAGTAGCTGAACCTAGAGTCTATATTATCGTCAAATTTTTATTCTATTTGATATCATATGATTCTTATACAAGTATTACTGACATGCCCTCCTGTTGTCCTCTCTGTCACTTGAATCGACGTGGCTCTACAGGAAAAGAATTCCTGGCTTTGAATAGCTTTTGCATGAGCTAGTCTTCAGTACGAAAACTTGTAAATCTATACTCTAAACAAGTGATTCGTTTGGTTCCCATTACCAACTTATGTTTCACCAAAACAACCCTCTGGTACAACGAAGACATGTTTTTGTTTATATTTTGATTTGATTCAAATTATCAGAAAATTTCTTTGTTTGTGTGACCAGGAACAAAGATAATAAGAAAGGTTTTGTCTACCAATGGCTACAGTTAAGACACTGTATTTTAAATCCAATACAGGATTTGAGCCTAGGAAAATATCATCATTGACTATGGTCTGATAAGGATGTTAACTACTTAGTACAGACAAATGATTGACAAATTATTTCTTATCAGACATAGCTCCTGAGATTCCTTGTACAGCAGCTTCTGTTGCGGCAGCCTGGACGTGGGGGTTGGTTGCCACACCCCTTGTGAATTCACCCTGGGCTTTTTCAAAGCTGGCACCAGCCATACGATAGATCCTGTGCATCTGAGGCAAAAAAATAATGGTTTTGTTTAAAAAATAGGCAGTCAAAGCCTGCATGTGGCTACTGCCATTTTCAACACCATGAAGATTTCATGACTGGTGACGTCATATGTCACATGATTGAAAGATGTGTCAGCAGTGTTCAGCAAAGTATGTCTGTCCAAGTTTGACTCACATTGATCACATATTCATAGAGCAATTACAGTTTTTAATGTGGTCACGTGACTGGTGACGTCATGTCACATGATTGGCACTGTGTGTAAGCAATGTCCGGCAATGTCTGTCTATCCAAAATTGACTGACAGTGGTCAAGTATTTGCAGAGTTATTACAGTTTATGTGTAGTCACGTCATTGATGACGTCATGTCACATGATTGGCACCCGTGTTTAAGCAATGTCCGGCAATGTATGTCTATCCAAAATTGACTGACAGTGGTCAAGTATTTGTAGAGTTATCACAGTTTTAATGTAGTCACGTGATTGATGACGTCATATGTCACATGATTGGCACCTGTGTGTAATCAATGTCCGGCAATGTATGTCTGTCCAAGTTTGAATGACATTGGTGAAATATTTGTAGAGTTATTACAGTTTTTATGTAGTCACATCACAACAACGATCTGATTGGCTCCGAACAATATCCGAAAGTATATCGGACTAAAATCGGTATTTGATTTGGGCTTCCTTTGGTGTTTCACTCACGCACTCAACACAATGACCTTATGGCTACGTTTTTATCGAAGCAGTAGCCACAAAAAATGACTGGATAACCAACCATAAGAAGCAAAAAAGTGTGAACTCTAAAGGGAAGGAAAACTAAGAAAACCCTTTGAAGCACAGGAGAAAATCAAAGAACAACTCTACTCACATACTGATGGTTTTCAACCATTCCCAAGAGAATTAAATAACAAAAGACACGGCGGCCATGTTGGAGGATATAACAAAAGAATTCATTGCCAATTCTTTTGTTAAAGTTCTCCAACAAGGCCGACATGAAAACCATCAATAACATTGACCCCAGTGGGGCTTGAACCTAGGTTGCAGTGGTGAGAGGTGAGCGAGCTTACCCCTATTTCACCTGTGCTATATTTACAGCAAACAGCCATTATTCCCTGTGAGAGGCCCTTCCATTAGGTTCGCTTTACACACACTACCACTTCATTCATTATGTACGACACACAACGCTCAACTTGCATTTTGTTTTTATGAAGCGAGAAAAACTGGAGAACCTGAAGAACAACCCTTGTGGCACAGGAGAGAATAAAAACATGCTGACCATGTTTGGCTCCAGAGCAAATCCTCACAAATATATCTATTTTTTTACCTTAATTAGCAAGAAGATATCAATAAGAACTCCAATGAGGAAGAAACCAGCACAGATATACATCATTGCACTCAGAGGGATGTTAGTTGTTGCTGCAGTAGCATTGATAAACCCACTAGGAAAAAAAGATAGAATTAAAAAAGAAAATTGAATGAATGAAAGATGAATGAATGAAGGAGCGAAGTAATAAACAAACAAATAAATGAGAAATAAGAAATCATCATTAGTGAGGGTAGCACTTAACAAACCTGTGCCCTCATTCCATGATGAAATGAAAAAAAAAAAGTCGATTTTCATTGAGGGAGAAAATTCAACCAAAGGACTCATGAAAAGAACCAACAAAAATGAGAGAGAACTGTGGGATATTATATATAGATTTATTCCAGGTTAGAATTTAATAGAAGCTTTACACCATCACGTGACGTCAGCCAAGTTAGATGGCAGGAACAATACAATAGTTTTACAGGAAAAAGAATTCAATAGGTTGTTTGCATGATGGCATCATTGGCCTCTACTACCAGACTCCCTTGCACACTTTCTTGTGTCCAGTTAATTAGCGCTAATTGTCTGACTATTCTCATGAGGGAACACAAATTTGTGAAGCATCTTGGTAATGGGAGTCAAAGGACACCATCATGCAAACTTCCTATTCACAAGAGCAAAGGGATGTTATTGTTCTGCCATCTAACCACTGGCAGTCTAATCTGCTTTATGGGGCCCAGCACGTGATGGTGTAAAGCCTCTATTCCAGGAATTAACACTGACCATGTTCCACCTGCAGGAACTCCCAGAGAATAATAAATGTTTATTCCTATGTGCAGAAAGAAGATGAGGAAGAATATCACGTAGCTAAATGAGCTGTCATTCCTACAAGAAAAGAAATGCAATGTAATGATGATAATAATAATAATAATAATAATAAATTAAATAATTGGAAATTAGAAGTTGATTTTTGCATAGGGAGGAAAGCGGGTGAAGCACAGGAAAGAACCAACAAACTCAACTCACATGTTGAGCTCATCTGACCTGAATCCGGGTCACATTGGTGAGAGGCAATTAAGAGCTCTCACTGCTACGCCACCCATGCTTTCCATGAAGTTCCCATGCAGTTGGTAGAGAGACCTTTAGATCCGACGACAAGTACAAATGTTTAACTTTTAAAGAGAGGCACTATCGTTTTGTAGTCATGATAGCGTATGTAGATTGAAATTTTAGATTGTAAAAATCGGAAATCGACTACAATTTAGCGTTAACCACGTGCACAGGACCAATTTTATAAATCTAAAGGTCGCTGGTATGTTATACATGTAGGAAACATGTTGGTGGTAGGCTAACTCATTGTTAGCTGCCACCTGGTAGGTGTTGGATTGTTGGTAGATTGATTATAAGTTGGTGATACTATACCACCAACTGTGTAGGTTGACTGCTGGTCCTTGGTCGTGGGTTGAAGGGTTGAGAGTAGTTTGGTGGTGAAAGTAGATAGTGCAGGGCTTAAAATTTCAGCAAGTAGATTTGGAACTCTCTGTCTTGCCAATCATTTTGACCAGTAATGTTGAACTTTAAGCTGTGCAATACTGAGATAATTGGTAAATCACAAGTTCCATATCTAAGATAGGTTATAGATCCAGGATGTAGTCAGCAAACCACCATTGCCAGTGCTGTATGCTGGATAGGAAAGTGTGGGTGATTGGGACCCTTACACCAAATGCAATGACTTTGACAAGTATTATTACAAAGTTGACAAACCATGCCTTTTATCTTTTACTGATTCATTCATCCCTTCTAACTTACTTCAAGGCTTTATATGCAGGCCTGTACCAGCACAGAAATGAGGCAGGGATATTTATGAGAAGGTATGCAATAGAGATGCCAAATGTCTCGCCATCTGCATAACTATCTTTAGTGGGTTTTTCAATCATCAGTGCAAGGGCAGATAGAAAATTGAAAAACATCACAAAACAGTATGCTGAAATACAAGGAGGAAAACCCCTTTTACTGATACCATTTTGAATTGTTAACAGATAAACTTGTTAGCAACATAGCAAGCATCGATACAAATCTGCTACAATTACGTACTTAAACCAATAAAAATGATTAAAACAAATGCTGTTACCATCAACTGCTATTCTCAATTTTTAAATATTTTCATGCAATTTAGATCTGCTTGGATGATTAATATTTTATAAGTGGTGAAGTTTTAAAGTTTAGCAAGAAGTGACATCCCTTTTATTTTAAAACAGTGCTTTTTGTGAAATCATTCCTTAAAAAATGGCCAAAAATAATTATTTACTGCTAAGTAAATAAATAATTACTGCTTGCTATCTTACCCCAAGAGTATCTGTCCATTTAACCATAAAATAACTTACTTTAGTGCCTTATAAGCAGGTCGGTACCAACACAAAAAGGAAAGAGGGACATTTGCTAATAAGTAGAGTATTGAGAGCCCAAATGTTTCACCATTGTCAATCCCCTCAACCAGAAGTGCAAACGCACATAAGAAATTATAACACATGACAAATGAATAAGCTGAAAAACAAATGCAATAAACAAAAAATAACTTTAGTCTTGCTGTGAGTATAACAGGCAAAAAAAAAAAAAAAAAAAAAAAAAAGAAAGAAAATGTGTTACTTACATTAAGCATACGAACACAAATAATGTTACAATATTAAAGAATTAGCTTTTAGTGTCACACAAACAACAGCTGTTAAATATTAGATTTATGATAAATGAAAAGAAAATTAATGTAGCTGGTAATAAACAGACATTAAAACAAGAATATTTTTCATCCTTAAAACCAGGTGATTTTGCTTTTATCACCCCTAATGAATTAGCCAATCAATGTAGTAGAGAGAATAAGAGAAAAATATCAAATGCCCTTGGCAGGAGTCGAACCCACTTCTTCGGTATTCTAGTCCGATGTGTTAACCACTACACTACAAGGACCAACCATGCTGAAAACACAGCTGGAATATGAAATGATATTTTTCTCTTATTCTCTCTACTTCATTATACACACCGAATGAATAATTTATTATCTAATTTAATTTTTAAATATTTTAAATATTAAAATATCCTCTATTTATTGCTGTATTGGCGGAAAATATTTCATTTTGACAAGAGATAATAGAAAATACTTGCAAATTTTCGCTGTGCAAAAAAAAAAAAAAACAAACAAAAAACACCTGAGTTGAAGTGTGTTCAAAGTCCTTACCTTGCCATCTTAGAAAGAGAAGTCGGCATGTCTTCTGGTATCCTATTGGGATGTCTACTTGAATATCATGATAGAAACAAGGCTTGCATTTACACCACTTTGGAAAAGGTGGAAAATTGTTTTCTCTGTAACCTGAACATATTACAATATTAATGATATGTTACCCCTTTTCTTCCCAGGATTCCTAGCAAGGTACTCATTCCAGCCACCTTCACCCATCTTGGATTTTCCCAGTTATATGACATGTATTTTTAAGAACCAGTTCATTCTCAATAACCGGATCTATTTTTTATTGCAAACAACAACGACCTAAATTATAGAGATTATGAATACCAAAGAGGTATGTTTTAAATACATCCAGGGTAGCTCAAATGAAAATTGGTCTACATATATATATAAGTCCATGGGAGAAAAAAGGATTAAGTTAAAAAAAATTGTTTTCATATTTAGAACTGGATACTAGTGATTACTGCATGTGAAAATTACTTAATTAAGTCCTTTTGTATCATAACAATACCTGTAAATTGCATGCGCTGTAGTTCTTGTTCTTTTCTTTGTAGTTCTGCAGCTTTTCTCTCCAAATCCTGGGCAGAGAGGAAGAAAACAATTTTTCTAGAACTACATGTGCAAAGTTCAAGTTAAATACACAAATGATGATAGTAAAAAAAAAAAAGATGAAAAATCTATCTATTTAATTAATATAAATCCTGGGCAGAGAGGAAGAAAACAATTTTTCTAGAACTACATGTACAAATTTCAAGTTAAATACATGAATGATGATAGTAAAAAAAAGATGATAAATCTATCTATTTAATTAATATACCTCTTGTCTTTTCTTTAGGTTCTCTTGTTCTTCAACAACCTACAACCAAATGACAATATTGAAACATGAGCTTTCAGAATTCCAATGAGACTACATAGGCACAGACAACGCAGTTAGGTGTGACCTTTTCTTTTGCAAAAGGTGTTTTTTTATTTCATATCACAGGTCCTTTCCTTGAGTATTATTTCTATATTTTCTTATAAGAGTTGAAAAGATATATTAAATAACATTACATTATAGAGTACAAAAACTAAAAGTGTGCAACACTTTGCACTATTTAGTAGTAAATAGTGCTAATTAAACAATAGAAAACAATAGGATTAGCATAATTTAGCAGTATTCAGTGGTATTTGTGTTACACACTTATAGTGCTTGTACTCTAGTATTTTTGAGTATAATTTTTTTTGAGAATATTATGCCAAAGAAAACCCTCGAATATGCAGTTCATTTCCCAATGTTTCTCTGTTTATATGAAAGCACTGAGCAACTCTATACGTATTGTTTGTTTATTCAGAATAACTGTATCAACAAACCCAATAAGTTACTGCACATATGACTTTAAGTATCGTACTTACAGAGTATGGAGGTGGTTCTTGCCTTGTTTCTATGATAGCTGGCTGTGTGGTGGGTTTTGGTATAGGAGCTATAACTGGGGCTGGAATTGTTGACTGTTATAAAAATAACATAAATATAACTTATAATATAATAAATGCAATAAAAACACCATTAGAATAACACCTGTTTAATCCAAAACTAAAGATAAATATATTAAATATGGTTAGTTTGCTATCATTTTTTTCAGAAACAGGTATTTTATTTTAGATGTACACTATCAATAAAAGGAAATATCACCTAAATTCTCAAAGAATTAATGAGAAATACCACTTGCATTTAATTATTTAATCTGACCAATGAGAGAAGGAGGAGTGGTATTAAGCCACTTTCATCAAATGCAAGAGGTATTGATTCTTTGAGAACTAGTTAAGGTGGTATTTCCTACACAAATTTTCTTGATCTTTTCATAGTTGAATTGACTCTGATTAACTGTAGAAGTAAATTGTTTTCAATTAAGATAACTAACTTTATATTAACTATTGTAATAATAATGGAAGAGAAAACGTGCACTTTATAATAGGGAAGTCAAGGTGACAGGATTAACATTGTAACATGAACAATAAACATTGAGTAGGGAAGACAAAACAGTAAGAAAATAGAACAGAAAAAAGAAAATGAATGAAAATTTGTTTCCCAGTAACTTAAAAATTTCTCATTTCATAATATTTTATAATATAGCTATAAAATCGTGAATATAAAAATAAATGAATAAATCGTAAAATACATAAATCTTAAATAAATTCAAAATTTAAGCTTAATGTTTATGTGAGAGAGTTTGTGTGGACAAATTCTTGATCTATGGGATCTGTATGGCTTCAAATATAGTATCTAAAAATGTCATCTATTCAAGGCGAGATCATATCATTCAAACCAACGTTGACAGATGTCTTTGAGAAAGCCATTACTTGGAGATATTATAAAATATTTCATATAAATGCCGTTAAAATATTACAATATGATACGAAGTGAACACAATATGAGTGAAGGTGAAAGCAAGACAAGCTCACCTTTGTGGAAGGTCCTTTACTTGGTTGGTTTTCGTCAGCGAAAGGATTAAAATCCTCTATTCCTCTGGCAGCATTACTAGTCATAGAGGCAACAGAAGGATCCTACGAGAAATTCAAGCAAAAAGAGTCGAAAATACCGCTAAAGACTACAAAGTAAATCAAGTTTTCTCTAATAACCATTCTGGCTTGTGTTCAAATATCTGTTCAAAACGACGTAAACTACAAAATATAAAACCAGTTTTTCCATGCGATCACTTACCGCAAATGGATTTTCTGAATCATCAGTATACGGTTTATTAGCCATATTTTATATTTTGAGTATGATCTTTAGAATAATCGTTGTTTTAAGGCATAAAATTGTCTTTTTTTTGCCCGATACGTGTCTCGCCACCAAAATTATTTCACATCCGGATACACATTGCGCATGAGTCAACTATCGCTTTGTCATGTGATCTTACCATGACGTAATATCAAATTATAAGATCTTGAGTAAGACTAATATGAAAAAAAAAAACGCTTTAGTAAGAAAAAGTCAAGACGTGATATTATAATACCTATTCGTAAGAACTAAAAAAGGAGACGATACGGATTTGAGAATGATTTATTTATTACAGAGAATTTTATAGTCGTACATATTGGGAACAGTTGTACTTTGTTATGAGTTCTTAGCGGAGTGAACGCACTAAACCCGTGAAACAAATACTAACTTTTAGTACTAAATGGTGATAAATAAACAATAGAAAACAAAGGATTCTGTATGAAATAGTACTTAATAGTACTAATGTTCACGGATTTAGTGCGTGCACTCTATTAACATCAATTTAAAATTAAATATTCAGAGACCATTAATATTGCCCATATTCATCCATGTGTTGGATGTCGTCTTTTTTTAGAAATGTAGTTAAGGGTTGCTTGTATAAACAATTGTCACTTCTTCTTGAAGAAAAGAGACAAAGAAGAAAAGACAGACAGACAGAAAGAAAGTGTTGAAAACAAGAAACAAAGAAAGAAAGAAAGAAAAAAATAACAAGAAATGTTACTGTTCTATAACTAACTACCCGTTCACCAAAAGCAATTTTCTTATCTCATTATCTCTCTTTGTTGATCCATAAAATTGAACGAAAGCTTTTTTGAACAAGAACTACTCTAAGTGGGCTCCCTGTGGTTTACACATAAGGCATGTGAATGATTTGAAATCATTTCCGAGAGATTTTACTGAATAATGTAAAACGCGACCACAACGTGACCGCCATCTTATAACAAATAACAAATTTCGGGTTTCGAATTCAACCAACATGGCGGCCGATAAAAACCAAACAATATATCATGCAAGGTTTCAAGGTCTGTGTGGAGGCGTGGATCCCTCCCAAACATTAGCCATGTTGGATGACATGACAAAAAAACCCGACCAAATCCTTTCTTAAAGTCATCCAACATGGCGGCTAGCTATGACGTCACACGCATCCCAAAAACAGTCTATTAGGGCATGTCGTTGTTGACAAGTCGAGCTTGACAGAGCTCAAGCCAGTCAGTGGAAGTCCATTTGCTCTTATAGTCCACCACTTTATCAATGATATACAGAGTGTCAATTTGGATGTTGTTATTTCTGTTCGATGTGTCGTTCCACCACGCTCCTATCTCCGTGTTATCACTCTTTCCATTAAAACCAGAAGTTCCATCTTGTTTTTTATCCAAAACTCCATTTACAAATATCTGCCTGAAATTCCAAAGCAAAAGCTAGTTATAACATATATCTACTGTATTCGAAAGCATCGCTATTGTTTTCGTTAGGGGGAGGGGACGGGGAACAAAATTAGGACTTTCTATAAAAGATACCCGATGCACTTATTGCACCCCTCTACACTAACATTCACAGATACGTTATTGATGAAAATATACGATGAAACTGAAATACCTCGTTCCTGTTGGAGAAGCCTTTTTCCAGGTCCACGTTATCTGATACCACTGGTCAAAGTTCAGTATCGCATCTCCAATCATATCATTTGAGTAAAACCCATGCAAAACGCGCTGTGAATCGGAAAAGATTTCCGCTTTGAGTGGATGTTATTTTAGTGAAATAATAAAGTTTTTGCATGTTAAGGAGCATGACAAGGAATTCCCAGCTAGTAGAGTCTATCTCCCTCGTTGGCAATTTCTCTCCAAGAACCAAGAACCGCCAACGAGGGAGACTCTTCTACCAAGGAAAAGACAAGGATGATGTTTTGTACAGTAACCATGACGACAGAGGCGTGTCCTAGTGTTTGTTTGAATCGACTCTTCGATTTTTCGGATATCGGAAAGACCTGTCATATGACGCAGGGCGAACAGCGCACGGCAAACAACGTACAACACACGGCAATTGACGCACGACACGCAGCGAACTGCCAACAACACGCGGCGACCGGCCAACAACACGCGGCGACCGGCCCGCGACATGAGGCGAACGACGCACGAAGCGTAGTGGTACCGGTCGGGCGTGGCTTAGTGCACCTGTATAATCAGTTCATAACACAAGTCCATTAACTGGTTATGGACTTTTGGTCATAATAAATACCTTAGATCTTATGCCCAGGTGAAATCCTTTGCCATTTTGTTGCCCGCCAGCACCAATAACTGGAATTTCCTTCTGGGAATTTAACCCTTGGTCAGTAAATTTGATTAGTGCCATGACAGACCATTCATTTCCGGACCAGAAATCCACAGGGATCCCAATGAGGTTGATATGTTTTCTTCCTTTTAGTCGAATTGCTTTACTCATCGCGCTAGGTAGGTACTCGGGCACTGTATTGTTAGATGCATGATCTTCAAAAGCTGTTAAAAAACAATAATTAACATCTAAAGCATGCACAAGCTTGCGGTGATGGTGGTGTACCGGGTGATGATAGTGGGGCATCCTGTGCTGGACGTTCATCTCATCCTAGGTCTCCTAGGTTACTAGTGATATTTCTAGTCCCTATTTATAATTTATAAGCCAGAAATAAGCAATAAGCACGTTTCTTCTCCTCACACTTTCCAGGGCCCGGTTGTACGAAGCCTGGATAGCGCTACCCAACGAATAAATCTTATCCAGTGGATAAATTTATTGGATAACAGCATCGACTTATCCACTGGATAAGGATTTACCCGCCGGATAGCGCTATCCAGGCTTCGTACAACCGGACCCAGAATAGCATACCTGCGGTGAGATTAACGCTCGTGGCGACACTCCCCGGGCTAAGATTCACTCTGAGGTTATCGTTAAATTGGAAAAGAGCACCAAACTTTGATATCTTAAAGGTTTCTAAATCTATTCTAGGTACGCTTGAGTTGTCACAGATGTCTTCCTTTAAGGCCAAACTCTTCCATCCCGTTGGAGTACAGACCTTAAAAAGATATTCGAACATATCAGTATACGAGTTACGTGTGTAAAAAATCTGTTATATACCAGGACACTGACCAAGACATGACTCTCGCGCGCGAGAGGGCAGTGGACATTACGGGCTAACCAATCATATCGCTAGAAAGCAGGAAGACATTCTAGAAACACGATACTTGATGTCAGTCGTGCACCGAACGTCACTCACGCAAGTCAATACTATAGTATACTGCTGAACAGATCTACCTACCTGGACGTTATAGTTAGAGTATTTTATTTGTCCGTAGTCTTTCGTTTCGTTGCAGCTGGGAATGAAAAGCACGACGCATTTTACTTAACATTTCGACAGATCTAACTTTCGACAGACCTTTATGTCATTTAGATAAACGTATAATATAATTGCGCAAAATATATACATTTTTTTCAATCTTTTATGATACCAAAATAATCTCGATCTACATAAAAGTTCATCTATTGGGGGAATTATTATTGGCGCTTCTTTTATTTTCGTTGATAGATTTAACTGGGACCATATATTCAGACATCGAGGGCTGAAGCGTCGCATGGCAACGCGAAGCATTTACGGCTACGCCGGAGATTTTGGCCCCGACACCGCTATCCCTGGATTTACAGGTTAGTTAGTGGTTACTCGGTTCTTAGACCATAGATGATTAACCACTTGCTATGACCAGCACACCCGAAATATTACCTGTGTCGCTAATGGCTTAGCTCACATGGTCGCGTTTTTTCGTGTCAGACGCGCTTTGAAAAGCAATCCGTGCTTATATACGTATATGTATAATATATATATGTATAAACAGACTTGGGGTACAAGTCAAGTCAAAACTGAAGGTAATCCTGGCATGGTAGCGTTGACCAGATAAACTGATGGATGAGCAAATTGTTTTGATGGAGAGCGGAGGAGCAAGATTGAGAAGTAAAGGGCGCAAAAAGCAAAATAAATCGTATGATTGCTTTACCTCTTGTTCAATGTTGAATTATCGACCTTTGCCATTGGTCCTGGAGGTCCCGGAGGGCCCTGAGGCCCCTGAGTCCCTTGAGGCCCCTGTGGACCCTGACCTCCTTTAGGACCCATGGTACCATTTACTCCATCCTTGGTTAAAAAAAAAAAAAAAAAAAGACTCACTGAAGGGTAGTAAAAATTAATAGTTCTTCACATATTTAACTTCGAAGAACTCAAGTCCTATCTGCCATGGGTAGGTCCGTTAGTCTCCTTCGCAGCCGACACCAGTTTCGGTCTGAAGGTCGGTTGACATTGAGTACAGCACAAGACAGAAAAGAGAGACAACTTCCGGAGTTTCTTTCTGCGCAAGCTCGAGTTTCCACTCAACGATCCTAGAGTCAGCCACAGGGATACCACTTTAGATTTATGTTCATTCACCTATCAATTTCATATAAAGTGGCCTCTTTGTGAGCCGGCCAGCTAGTCTTCAATGGCATTTTTACTTGCATCGACTGTGAACGTGCGCGGTAGGAATGACATGAAACCCGATTGCGATTCGGTTCTTCCTTTTGTTTGTTTGTTTGTTTTTTTTGTTGTAAATATATCTAATTTCAACATGTTAAAACTGTCAGTTTGAAGGACTTTTTAGGTTTCCCTTTTTAACCGTAGAATACAAATTTGCACTGCAAGCACTTATTAACTGGAAGGAGCAGACCTGGATCAAAATATGTCTTACCTTTCCATTCTTCCCCGGCCTACCTGGAGGTCCTTGCTGAAAATATATTATATAATTATGAATATTCAAAGGTAAATTTCGACAAATTAAATTTGAAAAGAGGTTGAAGAAGAGTAAACTGCGCGTGCGCACGACGACGGCGAAGGGAAAGGCTAAAAAACAGATACACGATACCCAGACCAACCCCTGCGATCGTATTGCTTCCTCTCTGAATCCAACTTTCAACAAAAAGCGCATCTTCCCTAAAATAACGACTATACACAATTAACATGGAGCTTGCTTACTAATCCATCTGAACCACCATGTCCTTAGGGTTTAGGGTTAACCCTAACCCTAACCCTAACCCTAACCCTTACATCCCGAAAAATTCTCACCAAGACTAGAGAGCCAATCCGGACTTGGTGACCTGCATCAGGCTCAAAAACAATATCTCCATCTTCTCCCGCCTTAAGAACGAGACTGCCATCTTTGGTTTCGTTCAGACCAGGGGCGTATAGTGGAAGGGGGAGGGGGCAGTTTAACACATTTTCCCTGATGATACGTGTTTAGCCCGAAAGCTCGCAATAAATATTAAAAAACAAGGCTGTTCACACCTCATTCACCTATGTAGCACTTTTCCCTGTCAAATTTAGAGGTATAAAAATTACGGCGCCGAGATGCGAGGTAAAAAATAGTAACTTGCAGTCATACCCTCGCCCTTCCTCGCTAGTTACGCACCCTAAGTATACTGATTGATAGATACGGTCCAGACATATATTATAAAGTGGCCCTTGACTGCTAAGCTGGAGACGTTTAATGCTAAGATTCTAACCGGATCCCCTTTTTATCCTGGCTACAAAATATTCACTGGATAACGATTGATTCGTCGAATAGCGCTATCCACCCTTCGTACAACCGGATTCAGGGATATAGCCGTTGACTTCCACTCCAACGAGGATGAGTGTGGCCTACTTAAAATTTATAGGACGGCCCGGCCCTAAGCACGCTCGCAAAGGAGGATACGATGCATGATTTGTTTTGACAAGGATATCTATTTTCTGATCAAGCACAGTAATCTATTTCAATTGGCTGTCATTAAAGATTAAGTAAACAGATACTTCCTTAGAATAGTTCGGAGTATCTGATGTGTGGTCGGTTATATAAACAGTGCTATCTCCCTTAATTAATCTATGTAATTTTTGTACTTCTACTACATTTCTCTACAAGAGTAACAATAGTTCCGATCCAAAAAACTATTAATTATAAAATGTATTAGCGGAAGTATTTCGTAAACTTAACGATTATTTCCAGATCACAAGCTTCAGTGCTTTTCACCGACATCGGATTGGAAGGTCAACTTCATTCTTGGCAAATAAATCATTAGTTTAAAGACGACATATTTAATCTTCGGCATTTACGGAGGGGTTTTAAGAACGCTAAAATATTGCCTCAGGCTTGAAAATACAATATTAATATCATGTTTATGATATTGGTGGCTGGCTTGAACTGCTATTGACTACTATACAGCTTTGTCAATGCTGCAGACATCTTTCGCTTTCTTACATATCATAAATAATTTATTTGAAATGAAGTTAACTTAAACCGTTAACCTAGCTTTGGCTTTTTCAGCTTTTTTGTTCATATATCGGGAATCTTATAAGCTGATGAACAAAAATACGAAGAGTGACTCAATTCATGCATCATTTTGGCGCGGTTTTATATACTTGGGTCGACATTGTGTCGTTTTATTTTCGCTGCACTCACACGTGATCTTCTAGCTGCCTTTAAACACAGTACAAGCAACCTAAACTAAATGAATTCGAAGAACTGTGTTATGAATGAAAATAAATGTCTTCTTACCTGGAATTTTCCTGAGCGCTTTGTCCTCGACTGATAAATATAAACAGAATCACGAGCATAGGAAAGCATGTTCGAGGATTCAAATACTTCATCGTTGATGGTTGAGCTTTACTGTTTTTGTTGTAAATATCTGTGAATAGTTTGGATTATTTTTGATGTTGGAAGTTGAAATTTTCAAAGCACTAGGAATAAAGTCATACCAGTTTGTGACTGTCACCGCTTTTCGAAGCCGCCACAGGGAAAGCACAGATCTTTTATGATGCGGGCTGCGGATTAGGTGACATGTGTTATTGACATCAAAAGTTAAAACTGTTGACAAGTGACAATCGCCAACACTTAGCCACGAGCTGTCAGTCTGTCAGTAATAATCATATCGAGAAAAACGGGAAAAAAAGGTGAAAATGGATATATACCTTAAAAACAACGGAGCAACAACAACAATATCACAAAATGAAAATGAAATAAACCCTGTACTTTTGAAATACGCACACAATTCCGCCTCGCGCAGCTCCCGACGTCGAGCGCGCTCAAAGATGTCTGTTCTGAAACAATATTTACGGGATTCCTGTGGTTATGACGGAAAACAAGATGGCGGCGTCAAGTTCTTCCTATGGAGAAGTTTTATACAGAACAGGACAAGTGAGAAATATATTTTCATGCGATTCTAGTATTAGTTACTATAGATAAGATAATAAGATTTATTCAGTACTATTCTTTCTTTGGTAGCTTCCACGTTTTTAGGTAAAACCGTAAATAAATCTGACTTTTCAAAACATCTAACGGTTTTCCCATCTCGTTAGGAATCTGATGCATCAGATATTTGGGACGATACAGCATTGATAGAGGCATATGATAGAGCCGTTAACATTATGAAGGTACCTTTCTTTAGATTTATTATTTGCATAATCACTGACATTTTTGACATCACACTAGTAGACATTAAACACTAAACAAAAACATTTATTCTATAGGATGGAAATTTTAAGAATGGTGGAAGCAAAGGGAAAGGAAAGAACAGGTAAAACAGCAGTCGTTGACACCCTGTGAACCATGGTATAACCTGGGGTGTCATCATAGTATCCTTTTCAACCCTCCACTCTGTCGTCAGGGACAGATCAGAGGTCACTCAAAACTGTTTAGGTTCACAGGCCCCAGATATTTTATTTCTCATTCTTTATTTCTTATTTTAATGAAGAAATAAAAAGAAAAATAAGGCAAAAGCTGCAGAAAACCAAGATTCATCTTCAAAGGTATGATAGCAACAGACACTACATCTAATCAGGCTCCTAACCACTTGGCTGTGTTTTCTCATTTCAGTCCCTTCAGTTCCCAAGTATTATTCGTTTGTTGACTAATAATTTTTGAATAGATATTCAATGTGGATAACATATGCTCCAACAATGTGTAGTTCCAAAAATTATCCATACCCCATGCCCCCCCTCCCCCCCACAGAAAATTTTTTAAAGACACCCCCTCTACCTTTCGAAATTCCAATTTTCTTCCATACAAACTCTGTAATTTTTGCTCTTTCTCTGACCCCCCTACCCTTCGGAAATTTCAAATTCCTCTGTGGGGTGGGTATGAATAATTTCTGGGACTACACAATGTTAAGCGAAAGACATGTGGTCTTATTTTATTATCTAAATTGTTCAATTCCAATATAACTTTATAGTATCACACGAGTAGATTTTGAAAAAACTCCCCTGAAAGCACCTATAAACACTGTCTGCTTGAGAGAAACAAAGCTTAAATATTAAACCGTTTATATTTTTTAGTGGCAGGTTGGTGACAGCTGCCGAGCTGCGTACTCAGAAGATGGGGAGATATATGAAGCATTCATAATATCTATAAACAGTGAGGAGACTTGTGTTGTGAAGTATAATGGATATGGTAATGTCGAAGAACAGTATTTAAAGGATCTTATGCAGCCTTTGGAAAACAAAAGTAACAAGGCATCAAAAGATATTGACCAGGGATACTATACAGTAGACTCACCTCACTATCCAGTAAGTGATAACTAGGGTAGAAAAAAAGTGTGTTTACAATTAAAAAAAATTTTTTTAAAACAATACATTTTCCCATGCATGCACTAGGATAATGTAAGCCTTACATCAGGATACCTGACCATGGGCAAAGATAGAAAACACTGCCTGCTTGCAAAGCCAATCAGAATGCACAATTTTTAGGATACTAGACAAGGAACAAAATAATAAAGTTTAATATGACATTGCTTTCAGCCAAGGACAGAAACAGCGACAAGCATGAATTGGTCATCATCTCAGACCCCACGTCATTCTAACGATCAGTGGAGAGTGAGTGATATTTGTCTTGCACCAGAACATCCAAGTGGTCACTGGCATGAGGCAGTAATCAACTCCTTCCCTACACCTTATACCTGCCAAGTTACCTTCCTTAGATCAAGAAAAAGGTAGATAGTTTTCCAACACTTGATACCCCTGTATTTAAATTAAATGTTTTGGGAATAAAACTATTGGTAGAGTGCATACCAAATATCTGTGAAAACCTTCGTAAAATAATGCACAAATTAGTAAGTTCAGTAGGTAGATTACAATAGGCTGTAAACCTACAAAACTTTGCATTAAAGTTTTGTTAGTTAACTTTTTCACGGATCTATGGTATGCACTCTAACTTGTAAGACATTAATTACCACATAAACTGTGGTGGTTAAGCAGCATTGTTTCATGGTCTTGTTGGAGCTATTTTTATGGTACTGCAACCTCTGGGACTTTAAAATCTCAAACGTTTACTGTGGTAAATTTAATTTTAAGAAGTTGAATCCCAAATGAAATTATCTAAAATATAGAATGTGCTGCATATTAAGTTCTGAGTTGCAGAGCCACTCAGTGAGTGTTGGTGGCCTTTACTGACATTTTTTTCTGTTTTTCCAGCCAACAAGTTGATAAATCACAACTATACCACAGCAATGATACTCAGTCTCATCATGATCATCTGCCGCCTCCGCCTCATCATCATCATCCTTACAGACCTCCAGGGCCTCCACAGTGGTATCAACATTCAAACATACCTTGGCCAGGACATCCACCCCATGTGACTGTAAGTATGCCGACATTATGTATGACTCAGCATCAGAACACAAAGATACCTTTCATCAGAATTTACAGTAATTTGTTTTGGGAAGGCAGGAACTATGGGAAACTATTGATATTCATTGACGTAAATCTCGTATTTTATACTTTTCTATTCTGTTTTATCTTAGAGTAGTTACACAAGTTTTAGCATGTTTCCACCATCCAGACCCCGGCCGCCTCCACCACCACCAATGTTGCCTCATCTAGGGATGTTTCCTCCTTTTCCACCAAATATCAATTTTGTAAGTACATTGTAGATAATGAGAATGATTTTCCACATGTTGAAAACTGTACAGCACACACATGTTGTATAAGTGGTATACCCAACAACACTGAAAAGGCTTCCCTTTGTAGTATTGCACTTCATCCAATCACAATTCTGCCCATCAAAAATGATTGTAGACTGTAATGTAGCTATGAATTTCCTGCAAAGGGTGATCTGTATGTAAATGAGGAGAGCTATAAAATACATGTAATGAATATTTTTGACACCACAGCAACGACCTACCCCTCCCATACCTCCTGTTCCACCACGCCCAATGGTGAATGCTGCTGGACAAGAAGATGAAGCCCTTGCCAGCATGCTGATGTCATGGTATTTAAGTGGATATTACACAGGTTATTACCAGGTATGTACGAGATGCATGAATTTCATTAAGATTACTTATCTAGACAAATAAAATAAATTAAGTACAAATTACCTATACTAAAACGTATACTGCATCTTTTCCTTCTAGGGTTCGCACGGTTCCAAAGAAAGACCAAAAGATAAATCTCAAGCACAACCAGACACAACTAACACACAGGAACCCCAACAACATGCAGAACAACAAGCCCCTCCATTGAACAGTCAGGATAAAGCTCATTGAATCTAAAATTATTCCTCATGACTCAATTCTTCATTTATAAGTGTGTGTAGTTGTCTTTCCTCACACATCTCCACTATTTTTTTCCAAATTTGTAAGTCTTTCTTTACCAAACAAAAAATCTTCAAAATTCTTGGAAGTCTTTTGTAATATTCAATAAAAATGAACTGTTTTACAAAGATATCTTTACTAGTTTTGTTGAAATTGTAAGTAGTAGTATTTATGATTAACGTTTTAGGTTCAATTTATTCTAGAGATACATTTTTGTGTTATTGAAAAACCAAACAAAAGGTATTTTGAATGCAAAATGATTTTGAGTTTATCTGCAAGAAAAACAATACATAACTGTAAAATGAAATTTTCAATTACTTTTGGGGAAGTTCTTTAGTACAAAGACTGAAATATGTACCTATTGCTACTTAAAAGCTTGATATGGCTTCATCTATGTCATCCATGAGTTCTTTGAGTTTCTCCCACTGTTCCAATTGGAGAGAAATACCTAAGAAACAGGTAAAGGCATTCAGAATTCAGTATGACAAAACGTTTGTGGGAAAAAAAAAATTGTCTTGGCTACGTGTGTCTGACTTCAAGGGCACTGATAACACAGGTAGTCCAATACTAAAATTTAACACAGGGACCAGGTAATATAGAGTGTTTTCACTCACGTGACAAGGCAGCCATATTGGTTTACCAAACAATAGAAACTTTCTGCACAGTTTTTGCATAAATATATAGTTCAAATCCCTGAGGAAAGAAAATGTATTTTTGGTCCACCAACATGGCCGCTGTGACATCACATGAAAATGCTCTAATAGAATGGATACAAAAGTTTGGCATTTTTACCTTTCTTTCCCGGCTTTAGATCTCCACTCTTGTCTTCATAGAATTCTCTGATATCAACGAGAACCTTTCCTTTGAACTCTCTAACGGAAACTTGGCGATTTCTGGAAATCTTTAAGGAAAATAAAGTACTTTGAAATCAGTTCAAAACACTACTGTATTTATTACAGCAGTGACAAGCCCAGGATGACTTGAAGGGGGTGACTGTTAACCTATAAAGGCATCACACACCATCCTTTTGAGGTCATTGCATATACTTTATTCTTATTATTTTTCATCTCCAAAGCCTGATCATCTAATTTAACCCCCCTGGGTCCACCCTCTCACACCCACCCTCCATATCTAAAATGCTGTCTTTTGAGGATTAAAGTTTCTTCTAAAACTCATGAATATTTAATGAGGAGAAAACAAAGCAAACTACCACTACTGTGACTTTTTCTTTGATTTTTCCAAGAAATATTCCGATGAGTTTGAGAAGTAATTTGAAACACTTGAGAAAGTTCTTCCTCCGATTTCCAAACACCTCAAAGTCAGTTAAAAAAACGCGGCTGTGCCTTGTTTTTTCAACTCACTTTTCAGTGTTTGGAAATTAGAGGAAGAAATCTCTTGCGTGTTTGAAATATTACTTGAAGTCAAGCAAAATGTCAGAAACTTACAGGGAAAACATAATTACCATCATCTTGTTTTGCTTCAGATACAGCACTAGATTTGGCTTTCTTTTGTTTTTTCGTCTCTTGCTGAAATGATAGAATTACCAACATAAAAATGAGCTCCAAGTTTAATTATGCAGAAATGAGAATTTTGAAAAAGGAAAAATAAAACACTTTCTAACATTGTTTCTTGAAATAAATTCAAATTCAAAAACATCATTGTCGACTGGCTCAAGGGTGGTTCAAGGCTGTGATTGAACCTAAAGGGAGTATGGATAGAAATCACTAAAGATTTGAAATAATTATTCCCACTACATAATTACTAACATGATAATAATGGTGAGCCACAATGCATTAAATGTATGTCTTTGGGTGAGGCAAAAGGAAAAAAAATTCATTATATCTTGTTAGTTGTATTTAGTTCAAGACTTTCACTGATTTTGAAAATGTTAAAAGTCTATGTATTTCAAAGGTCCGGCAAAGGTCTGTTCTTTAACCTGAGGCATATCTATTCAGATATGTGGTCACAGGCCAAGGTCCTAGAGACGGGCCGGCCTGGGTCAACCTCTTCAGTGGTTTCTATCCCTACTTCCTCTCATTCCAGTAGTGTAGCTTAAGACAACAACAGCCTTTTTTGAATTGAGTGTATCTCCAACAGCATTATGAATCCATGTACTGTAACTCCTAGTACCCTGTATTCTCATATTCTTGGCTTCAGTTAGATGTTCGCAAAGTTCTTCATCTTAGTACTAGTTCACATGTACTGAATAAAGCAGGATCACGTGCGCCGAATGAAGAACTTTTCTAATTTCTTTCCTGCTCTTTTTAATTTATGCTTGTCCTTCTTTATCAAAGTTTAAAAAATTTGAAATAAAGAAATACATGCTGTTATTGGCATGAAATGCAAATAAAAATACTGCAAGATGGACAAATCAACCTCTCATGACTTCAAAGTCATTTTTCTTGCGTTGTTTGTGACTTAGTGAGTCTTAGAGTTGACTTGGAGCAAGTCTATGCTCCAATACCATTTTTTCCCTGGGGGAGGGGGGTAAGCACCAAAACGTCTTCCCTCGGAGAAGAAGTTTTTGATGACTTTTTAACTAAATTTTTCAGCAGTACTAAACGAAACTAAGCATCAAATAATATTATCCTTTTCGTAATGTTTCTATGACCGTTGGTTGTCTTCTTGGGCACTGATTTCGCGACTCATGGCAGACATTTTGTTCAAGCATCAAAGCGCCATGCGCTACAGTCACAGATATTTTCGCTTTCAACAGCTTTTCTACTGGAGCAGTTTTTCTTACCTCGACTTCCTCTTCTTCTTCAGAATTATCGCTACCAGATTCCACTATCTCTTTTGACTTGGGACGTTTAGACATGGTTTATTTGAATGGAGAAGTTCTTGTCGAAAAACAAATCAGTTGTCGTACGATTCCCGCGAAAAATAACAAGATACGCGTTACCAGTTCTCCTTACCGAAATCTGTACCACAGGAAGCCCAATCAATAATGAACAGGGTAGAAAGTGCTATTTTAATAAAGTAAATTTATTTATCTCAAGGAAGGGCTTGGTTTTGGGGAAAAATATTTTTACGACTGTGTTTTTTCATGGGTTCGATTCCCGTTGAAGCCTGAAATCATTTTTTCAGGTCTTTCTTTACAGCGTTCGCTTAGATCGCTTATTCACTGTGATGATCAACACATCTAAGTATTATACTGTCAAAAAACAAAGAAAAAAAGAAAAAGTTCTCCAAAGCTGAACAGAGAGGAAAGAAAAGTCTAAATATCGTAGGATGCCTGGAAACGAACTCTGCTCGCAGTGACTTGTGGGTTCAATTTTGGAATCAAACTGGACCGAGCACCTAGAGATTCATGCGAGACGAGTTCCTTTACCAGTCTTCCTGAACTTCGGAAAGATTTAAGTGCTACTCTGACGAAAATCACTCAAACTTGGATTCAACTGAAACTTCCTAAGAATACTCTTTAAAGGTCCAATAATCACTGTATGAAGTGTTTTCTCGATATTCAGGACGAAAGTATGATATTTTTACGATTATTTTTTGGAGTCTGTGACGTCATACACTCAACATC